GTCACTGCTCCTTCATATGCCCGGTGCAGAGCAAAGTGCAGAAACGTGGGCTTCCCCGGGGTTGTGGGTCGAACTGTCAGCACAGCGTTGCAGGAGCCTCACAACACTTCCTTTAGTGGCATAAGCTTTTCCATGCCTGCAGGCATTTATGCATGTATGTAAAACTGAAGCATAACGCTCTCTCCGTGAGACCAGAAAAGGCTCACGGGACCCCGATTTGACTCCAAGTAAATTAGCGGCAGTTTCTGGAAACTGAAGATGCAGCAGATTAGCAGGCCGCTTTGCAGCCCCCGGGTGTGGTCTTCCGAGGCATTTTCTGCATCTGAGATGCTCCGTGGGGCATGTCCACCCACAGTGCAAGTACTGTACAGAGGCTTCGGCCACCAGTTTGCAGCTGAGGCTCCACAAACAGCCCCGCAGGACGGCGGTGCCCTGGTGCCCTGACTCTGCCCATACTACAGGAGACTCCGTCAGCTACACCGTCTCCAGTTTCCTTCCCCACCAGCTCCGGAAGCAGCTGACCGTCGTCACCTAAGTGTTCACTCTAACCCAACTGGGGGCTCTTCCCGGCCGTGCCGAGAAGCCGCTAGGTCCCTCTGCACCTTGGGGCTCGCTCCCCTGCCCTCGTGTTCAGGGACGCCCATCCCAGCCCCGCCCCACCTTGTCCCACTTGTTCCGGAGCTCGTCCATGGTGACGGTGCTGTAGGGGTTGCTGGAGCTGATCCTGATGTTGTAGCTCTGAATCACTTTCTCCACCTCGTTCTGGATGGCCATGATGGACTGCCGCTCCCCGTCCGCCTCTGGCAGCGTGGCCTTGAACTGCTCGTGGGCGGTGATCAGACTCTAGTGCACACAGAGAGGCCCCGAGCGGACGTGAGTGCGGGGTGACAGGCGTCACAGCTCCTTCCCGGCACGCACGCTGTGGGGCTCTCGAGGAAAACATTCTTGGTAGTTTAGAAAAACTGTTTGGTACAGACACCTTCAGCTCCTTGCCCATCCCACAATCTGAAGATCCTCAGTGAAGGACTGTTTGGGAGCTGAATCCACCCACACTGCAGCTAAGGCTTCAGGGCCTCCCGGGGGGTGCGGCGGGGTAGGGCGCAGCACTGAGGAGCCCCCACAGCACGAGCTCCAGCCCCAGCCAGGGAGCGACCCCAGGGCGCCCCAGACCCCTCCTGTCTCCCCACTGCCCCCTCCGCAGTGGACTTCGTCCATCTGCCTGTTCTGCTCCCCGCTCTCTCTCTGGGGCATCCTTTCACCCCCTGCACCTCTGCCCTGTACCCCAGTTCTGTGTACATAAACAAATAAATCTAAAAGAAAAAACGACCAGGTTGTCAAACGCCAGCGGAGTCTAACACAGCAGAGGGCGCGGCGGCCATCACCTGGATCTCCTCGATGCTGTGGACGATGAACATGTCCTGCAGGTCCTCCATGGCACCCTCCATCCAGTTGTTGAAGGGGGCAGCTCTCTTGGCGAACTCCAAATGGAGCTGATCAATGGTTTCCAGCAATTTCTCCGTCCTCTGAAGGTGAGATAAAGAAAAGCAGGCGTCATCACAGATTTAAATTAACCTCTCAAAGTAACTGGCACCTTCCAGAGTAAGAAACTGGTCTCTGGCTGGCTGATGTCGGCGCTCTCATGCACCACATGCGTCGGTAAGAGACTGTCCGGTGACCAGGCTGAGCCGTGCAGGCCTCTGAAGTGCAGCCTGACTCAAGGAAACTCTGAGACACTCGGGTAGCTTTCTTTCCAGATACTCACTGTGCTGCACGAAATGCTACTTTTTGGAAATCTGAGACTGCGGGGTAGATGCAGGGTAGGGTGTGACTTGCTTTCAGCTAAGACGTGCTGTGTAAGCTGGAGGGCGGGTCCCCTGCAGCTCCCGTGAGCAAGCCAGGAAACTCGGCCTGGTGCCCATCTCACCACCCACCGTGTGCACAGAAGACGCACCCCTCCCCCAGGGACCCAACGTCCCCGTCCCCAGGTCCTCGTCCAGGGCTCAGCTTAGTGGGCCCCTCTGGCCCTAGGGACGTGGCAAGACCTGGCTGCCGGCACCAGGAATGACTCTACCCTGTTTCACGTGGCAGAGGTGATGGGGAGCAGCGAGGGCACCCCATCTGCTGTCAGTCTTGTAAATCTAGAATCTTTTTTCCCCTTCTGGGCCGAAAATACACTCACGGTCTCTAGCACAGCCTGGCAGCCCTCCCCTGCTGCAATGGTCTTTCTCTGGGTGGGAAACGGCCGTGGGCGCTCGTGTATTTAACTGCTTTCATCCGAGTCAGGGGGCTGGGAAGGAGCCCCTTGCCTGGCGAGTCTTCCCCCGTGGAAGGAGCCTGGGGCGTCTCACCCCGGACAAGGCCAGCCTGCCCGACCCTGTTTCACAGGTCACCCGGCCCCTGGCACGTCTGGTTGTATCCTGAGTCCTGACTCCTGACTCAGCCGCCCAGCTCAGTGGGTTCTTCTAGCAGGACTTCTAGAACTTCACCGTGAGCTCGTGCTCGGTGAGGTAAGTCAGGAGGGGAAACTATCGAGTGGTTCCACTTCTCGGAGGAGCAGAAGAGAACCGAAGAAGACATGGGGAGAGCAGGGACTGCTACTGCAAATCGCCGCGAGAGAAAACACCACGATGAGGCAGAGACGGGCACGGGCTGGAGGGAGGAACGTGGGCTGTGCTGACGACAGCGGGCCGGGGTGCAGGCTGCTTTAGAGTGAGCGGTGATGTGAGCACATATAAATCGATGAAAAGAAGAAAGTCTGTGCCATTACGGTGTGACGGGAGGGGCCTCAGACGATGACCGCGAGACCCGGAGGCCGCTAACCGGGGGGCGGCGTGGACAAGGGGGCAGCGCCAAGCTCCCACGCTCGCATCTCCCGTCCCGCCTGTGCACCGCCTGCACCAGCCGCTGGCGTCACGCGGGGAACCCGCGGGGGCCAGTACCTCCAGGGCCTCTCTCCTCTTCTGGGTCAGCGTGCCCAGCCGGTCCCACTGGTCGCAGATCTTCTGGCACCGGTCGTTGACGTTCGCGGCGTCGTGGTAGTCCAGCTCACTGCCGAGAGGAAACAGCTCACTGTCCGGCTGCTGGCGGGAAGCTGGCCACAGCCACAAAGCCAGCCGTGC